GTTTGACAAAAGTCACGCTGGCCCACTGACCAATCACGGCGCACATTAATGCAGACGTACTTAGCAGGCTACCTGGGTAGCAGTGGCATGTCAAAGAATACGCCCAACATGTCAAACTAAAGATCTGATCGGTTGAAGGCTATGACAATCAACAATATCGTCCCCATGCACTTAAACTGCAAAGTCTACCTAGAGGGCATCGGGCCTCTCTCCTTACATAGAGACATAGGGGCTGAATCTGATTGGATAAAAGCTCTCCTTAAAACAAGCTGTGCTGGAAGCAGAGCAAGTGAGGAAGACAGTAGCTGTGCAATGAGAAAATAAGATAATGGGACAAATAATTAGAATACATGTAGTGTATTTGTGAAAAATTATGAAATAGCTATAAGTTTGTGATTGTGTTTAGGCCAGCAGAGAAGGCTTAGCTGGCCCTGACGGCCCACCACTGGCCTGTCCATCTCTGAAGATGCTGCTGAAACCGTTTCAAGTCCAAAAACAGTTTTGAAAACAATAAAAAATGTGTGAAGTCATTAAATGCATAACTTGACTCACACTTAACACTTCTGTTAGATATAATAAAAAGAATGCTGAAGGCCTGCAGAGGTTGCACCCTTCTCCAGCCACTTCAGAAAATAGATTTTTCAGATTGGTTTGAAATGTTTAAAGATGAAGCTTTGCCCCTTTTCAGTCAGTTCAGTTATTCGTATGTTGTTGTTCATCTGTTTATGCATTATTAGAGTCAAATAGGTTGTGAGTTGTATTTGTCACCAACAAATCATGAGCGCATCTTAGCAAGTGAATTCTCATTGCTGCCTTCGCGTCATATGCTCTATACCGCTTGTAAAAGTAACCAATGTTCAAAGTTCTTTATCCCCCTTCTGTCCATCTTCAAGTCATCTCATTTGCAATAAATGCTTTTGCACAGCTTCTGTCCTCTCTCAGTGTTTTTAGATATTTTAGGATATTTATGTTATTTATTAACATCATTATCAACAAATCCACTTTCCATTTTTAAAAACAAGTCTGAGTATGGGGGACAATTGCGGTTTGTATTAATTCAATCAAACACGACAGCAGTGGTCCTTGCAGACACATCTTGCGGAGATCTGCACTCTACTGAGTGCACCTTGTTTTTCTGTTGCTTTTTGTCTTTTTTCGTTTTATTCTGTGTGCATGTTGTGACCAGGCTACTTCCTTTACCCGTTAACAATCATCTTAGACATCATTGCAACTCTCTTTCAACATTTTCCACTAACAGTAAATGACACTTTATAATTATAGGAACTGAACCAGTTGCACAATTCCACTGCTAATCATGTAAACTCTTCATGTTATTTTCTCTTTCTTTACTTGTAAATTAGCATACATCTGAATATAATGCCGGAGTGAACAATATATTTTGATTTTTGTGTTTCTCAATGACAGGCTCTGTTTCCTCTTGTCCCTCTCTCCCCCTCCCCCTCGGCTCCCCTCCCTCCCCGTGTCTCTGTGGCTGCTGGCGACACTAGTATCGATGTATGCAGTGTTTTCTCTCATTAATTTATCAGTTCAGTGGAGGGGGGGGGGGGGGTCTCTCAGCGTGGGGAGATAATGGCTTCCATTTGGCCAAGGTCAACAGTCAACACATTCCACAGTCGTTCAAATATAACCACACATTAACTTGTTTCCACCAGTACCACAAGGGAACACACACACTGACGCACAGCTAATAGATAGTTAGTGAGCGGTGGTGATACTGTCCTACCTGTTTATGACGGTTTCATGCTATTAAAAAGGTGATTCAAAGTCTCTGATCTCTGCTCAGAATATCCGCTCAATACCAGAGAGGTTAACTTATGATAACACAGACAAATGAAGTACTTTGTCCACCCGATGACACCTGATGTCGCCATCTGTTTGGGAACTGAACAGTGTTTTATAGTTAAGGCATAAATTGGCTCAGTGTTTCAGGGTTTTCATTAGGTTACAATGATTGGGTTAGGTTCACTTTCACTTCATTTATTGAAAAATAAAAACACCCTGGGTGAGTCAACGTGGTCTACATTTTTGGTATACAACATAGTGATACAAAAGTGACTTTTATTTTTGTATTCCTCAGTGCCATAAAGCTTCATATTTGTCCAAAATATATAAAAAATACGTCAGTGAGCCACACTGTTGCACCGGATGACATGTTCCATCATTACCATGAACACACACTGTAGTTTATTTTCACTCCGTCCCACACACACCGTCCTGCTGCCACAAATACTCACTAGAGCAGCAAGTGGGAATTAATCCGCCGCTGAAAATAGTCCCCAACAAATGCAGTTTCTTGCTGTTTGAGTAGCGTTTGGTTAAAAATTATTGTTAAACTGAACTATATATTTGTGAGGTGTTTGTAAAGATCTTCAGCAGGAAGTAGGAACCAATGGGTTTGTGGCTGAGTATCACAGATAACGTCTAATGTTTTGTTGCCTAAACCTAGCTGTAGTTATTGTAACCATGATGTTTTTCCTAAACCTTTTATCTCAAGAAATCAGTCTTATGAAGTAGCACGGAAAAAAATCCCGAAACACATTTGTATCATCAGGAGGAGGAACAGCGTGGGACCATTAATGTTAGGACAAGGCAAGTTGGTAAGTGGTTCGGGCAGATCTCCAGGAAATGAATGTAAGTCAATGTAATGTCCTCTGAAGAGATGTAAATGGGACTGTGTGTGTTTGTGTGTGTCTGTGTGTATATAACCTTGTGGGGCAATAAATCTGATCAAACAGTCACGTTGTGGGGACTGGGGTTAGGATTTGGTAGCGATAAGGTTTGGGTAAATCTGCAGGAAATAAAGGTAAGTCAATGTAATGTAATGTCCCCGAAAGTCATGAAAATGTAAGGTAATGTCCTAAAGTGATAGAAACATGAGTGTGTGTGTGTGTGTGTGTGCGTGTGTGTGTGTATAGGTGTGTGTGTGTGTGTGTGCGTGTGCATATAGGTGTGTGTGTGTGTGTGTGTGCGTGTGTGTGTGTGCATGTGTGTGTGTGTGCGTGTGTGTGTGTGTGTGTGTGTGTGTGTGTGTTAATTGACCAGATCAGACAGGCACTTTGGAATCAAACAGCTATCTTCTGGACATTTCACCCGTCAACTGTGTGGGCTATTTCTCCAAATGTTGACTTTACCCTGCACAATTTGTGAACCATTACACAATACAGGGGCTGAGATCAATGTGCATACTGTTGGTTTTGGAGAAGTCTCTTATGTGTGTGGCCATTGAACCTCAGTAATATAACACAAACAAAGTTATAAGACAAAGAGCTTTAATCCTTAGAAGAAACATCACAATGTTATTTATTTTGTAATATTTCCAAATTCAGCCTGAAAATCACAGTCGGTCAGTTTAGCTGTCAGCCTCATGCTGTGATCATGGGTTGTATTAAAAAGTACTGTGAAGGTATTGTATAAACAATCAGCCCGCTGGTATCTTCCTGTGGTCCCTGCTGTTCTGAGGCTTCACTCAATCATTAACCTAATCTACTTACTGAAAAACTCACACAGTGTTTGCATGAGAACTCAATGATAAGCTATTTGAAGTTGAATGTGCTGATGGGACGACCATTGACATGCACTAAACTGTTTGCTAATCTGTGGCTGCCTCTGATTCCTCAGTGAAACAGCAGAGCGAAGAGCGACGACTGGGTTTGCATCTTGAAGTCGGGCCTTTATGTATGCAGCATTTACTCTCCAACAACAATGAGCTTCATGCTGTTTTACTCACATAGGTTCACAATTAGTTCAGCTGGTCGGGTCCTAAAGACAACTTTAAAAGTTCTCCAAAGCACTTTGAGGTTCAGCATCTTCCCCAAGAGCACATGGAGAGGTTCTTATCATAGACAGACTGTATCTACGGCTCTTGTTACCTGAGGGGAGGTGACGTTATGAGCAGGAGCGTCGTCCACTAAACCAAAAATGTTACACAAATGAATACAACGAATGAAAGATATTTATTCAAAAACATTTCCTTAGGATACATATTGTCACAGGTAAATCAAAGTATAATGTTAATCTTCTTCAAAGACACTACAAAGGACAGAGAGCTTCCTGTCCCAACTCCACCAATCAAATTCTCCTCTTTGGGTTACAGATTGTCCTGGCGGACAAATTAAAGTAGAAATAATGTCCACTGTTATAGATTATCTAAAGCAAGCAAGTTCCATATCAGTGGGACTGATAACTTTCCCTTTAAAACTCATCCAAAGCATATTAGACAATAGAATATCAGTTCAAATGCTGATTACACATTAATGTGTAAATGTGTAAATGATATAATAATACTCTGAAAGGGCCAATTTACATCGTCAGTAACTATGCTTTTGATAAGTGCTTTTTACTGATATTACTATTGTACTTTGCCCGTATTCAAGCAAAACGTCAAGTCATTTATAAATAGCACTTTTTATTACACACATCTATAACACATTATAAGCTTATAATGTGTTATAATCTGTTGATAGCACTGTATAGTTACAAGCACTCATATATATTCTTAATGCTTTATAACAATCATTATAACACATTATATAGTATTTTATAATTACTTGTAAGGTCAAGTAATACTTTATAATTCATGTGATTCTTTTTAAAAGAATCATAATTCCCATATATATTATCGTCTTATTTTATAATGCATTATAATCAGTTAAAATGCATTAAAATATGATTATAAATGACAATGTGATCTGTTTTTGCTTTAAATAAAGTGAACATTTTTTTAAATATATACAAGAACAGCACACGAAACGTTGAAATAATTTTTACTTTACTCAAAACAATGATCAGATGATTTGTCACATTATCATAATTAACACTAACATGATTATAGTGAATTATAAAAAGATGATCATGTATTGCAACCAATGTTAGTGAGTGACCAGCAGTATTATGAAACTTGATCTTATTATAAAATGCTTTACAATGTGTTATTATTGTTATAAAGAATTATAACAATTTAAGTGCTTATAACTAATCATACAGTGCTGTAAACATGGGGGTTATAAGAGTGTTTATAATGTATGATAGACATGGTCGTCATAAGTGATATACTGATGATTGTTGGTCAGCAGCTTATATGCAACACAGTTATGTGGTTACATCTTCAGCCTGCTTTAACTTAGTGTTCCTACATCACCTTATTAAAACTTTCATTCTTTAAATGGCTTTGACTGCAATTATTACCAATTCAGGTTTACATACGTATTACATTTATTGTTGTTATTTTCAAGTACTATATCAATATCAGGTTAATTGTTTTGTTTTCACTTATTTATTTATTTTTGCAGAGTTGTAGATGTAACAAACATTACGTCATTCATTGTTTTGCTTTTTCCTGCAATTTTAAGAAATACAAAATAATAAATCAGTCAATTTCATCAGAGCTCCATCCGAAAGTGACACGTTATTCCTACCAAAAAAAATAAATAGTTTATTAGATATTATCACCCAACCAAACATCATTTGCTACATTGATTATTTATTGTAATATCACATTTTAAGGCAACGACTTATGAACCCGAGCACTCATCATCCCAGACGATACACACACGTTACCGGAGGAACTCTTGGGCCTATACGGTTATTTACAGTGATCCACATAACAGAGACATCAACACACACACAACAGAGTGCTCGAGGTTTACAACAGTCCCGTGTGAGAGGCCCTTGATGTGAGGACATGTTTTATTGTTTTAGATGCTGATGTATGAATATTATAATAGTATGTCAACATAAAAAGACTCCAGTGGAGTGACGGTGAGAGCCAAAGGAGTCCAAAAGTCATAGCGGACCCAGTGTCAGTGTGGAGCCATGTGCTCCACAGCTATGGGTTCAGCGTGAAATCGTCTTCGTCCTCGATGTCCAGCTCCTGGTCCGTATCGTCCGAGACGTCAGAGTCCAGCTCCGTGTGGGGCTGCAGCTGCTGCTGCTGCGGGGACCCGGAGCGCATCACGCAGCGGTCCGCCTGCGCCGGCTTGGAGGCCGGGAGTGTCTGTCTCTGCTCCAGGCTCCGGGTCCCGGAGGACTCGGTCGCCTCGTCTCCTCTATTGCTCCTGCCGGCGGGGGAACCGTCGTCCTCCGTCTCCCTCTTACCCCCCGGGAGATTCTCCTGATGCAAGAAACGTTCTATGAATTCAGAGGCCTGCATCGCTGCCCTTAGTACGGGACTATATTCTAATGCAAGGAGCGCGTATAATGTGACATAAGTCAAAACGCCTCACCTGTTTCAGTCTCCGCCACTTCGCTCGTCGATTTTGGAACCACGTTTTGACCTGAAAGACGAAATGAAAATAAATATTTTATTTAGGTTTCATCAATCAATATCCAATATTTAGACTCCTGAGTGCTCATCAGAATCATGTTTATCATTAATGTATTATTATTATTATTATTATTATTATTATTATTACTATTATTATTATTATTATTATTATTATGTTAGTCCAAAATGATGTGAAGCTGTTCAAATATACATTCCAGGGATTCGATTCTTAAATGCTTGATACTTATATTACAAAGGTGGAATGCACACACTAAACAGCGTGCTCATCAGAATCAGAATCCGGATTATTGCAAAGAAGCTTTAGCACAAAGGGATTTTTTTTCGTGTATTGGTGCAAAACATAGAGAAATCCAAGATAAAAGCATAAGACACAAAAGAAAATACAATACAAATGTTAAACTTACTATAAAATATGCACAGGAAACATAAATACAGAAGAGAAAATATACAATAAAAGGATGAAGTGGTAGAAGAATAGGTACAAGAAAAATATAATAGAATAAAAATACGATACAAATATGAAAAAACACTATACAAATACATATGTACAAGAAACGAATATTGAATAGAGAAATACAATAACAAAACATGGAAAAAGACTATACAAATATGTACAATATATCTGAATTAATAATGGAGCTGTGCAGCTTTTTAAACGTGTTTTTGTATTATGAAACGTTATTTAATTGATCCATATTTGACACAATTAAAGCCATCATTGGCAAAGTTTTTCATCTGGCTGGACTGGACTAATAGCTGCTCCCATTCCAACTCGTTACATACTGACGCTTTGTCAGACCCCTTGTCTACAATTTCCACTGAGCACTGAAGAGGTGCCATTGGGCAAGGCACCCCTAACTGGTATATGGTCCTGTGTGTATGTGGGTCTGTGTGTGTTTATTTCTTGGTCCTATCTGCCTCAGATGTTCTCTCTCTCTGATAAACAGCCTGCTGGGGTTTCTTAACATTGTAGATGTTAGCATCGCTGTGCATCGTGGTCTGTCTCTCATTCATGACAACCCCCACTCCCTCTCTCTCTCACAGGCTGTTGTGGGTGAGATGGGCTCCGATTGGAACCGGACTCAGACGGTCTCACCTGTCTCTCGCTAAGTTGCAGCATCTTGGCCAGTCGCTTCCTCTCCGGGGGCGAGAGGTACTTCTGCGTCTCGAACTTCTTCTCAAGCTCGATCGTCTGGTCGTTTGAAAAGCGGACCTGGCCGCCCTTTCTCTTGTGCAAGGGCCGCTGTATGAAGGGAGTCCACAGCAGAGGTTTCCCTTTGGAGAAGGAAGAGACGGGGCCGGGGATTCATTCAAGGTCCACGTTTACACATCATATCCACCAGTCTGTTTTTAATCTCCACACTAGTCACACAGAATGGCACCAGCACACATCTATGGAGCAGACTGTCATTTAATAACTTATATTGTGCATGGCCCAAATACATAATGTCTATTCAAATAGTTACATATGTGATTTAACAGTCAGTGATTATTATTGAAATGATTATGATTGTAATTACTATTATAATTATTTATATAATAATAATTATAATAATTACTATCATAATCATTTTAACATTATGATCATTATTATTCTGAATAGTATCATTATTATTAGTTAATTGTTGTTAATTGTGAATAATCATTATTTTAAATTATGATACTGTTCAATATAACTGAAATATTTAAAGAGAAAAAAAGAATAATAAAGTGCGCAATACTATTTATTTGAGCGGCACCAGTCTAGTACACATGATGTTGTTGTTTCAGATGACTATTGATCAGATTGATGTGAGAGAAACGTCTCCGCGTGTAATCAGGGCTGTTATTATGTTATTATATATAAATATATATATTGTGTCTGGTCTGGTTTCCTCTCCTCTTAGACCTGGAACAAACAACAGCACAGGCTGCGGCCGCCACGCTGCTCTTTTTTAGAGGAAGGTCGTGACAGAGTGAAAACTATGGCCAAATATCCGCTTCACGTGCTTCCTGCTCCGCGGTGCGATTAGAGGCGATGGTCCAAACAGACGCTCGCGTCCTCTGCTCCACTGACACCACATAAATCTGCTGTGGTCCGAACGTCTTACTGCTGCTCTTTTCCTATAAGGAAGTGAGCTAATCCAGGCCCCACGAGGTATACTCTTAACGCAAACAACAAGAAATATATCAGCAAAGGAAACATTTTGTAGAATAAAGCTCGGATTCATGAGGAGTCCTTTTCTTAGGTTGATGATATTTAGGCTACAGAAAGTCTTTATGAACGCTTCTAGTTCTATTTGAACGCTTCTCTTCCTGCTAACGTTAGCCTGCAGCTAACTGCTGCATTTCAATCTGTAGCTTAATGAAAGGACACATTTATGCATGGAGTCAAACTATTTCGTTGAGCGAAAATGCAAACAAAATAGACGTAATACGACCACAATGACTGATCACATTGTCCTCACATGTGCGGTCTAATAAGCGGTACAGTCTCTTTGTAAATGATTCCTTTGTGGGGTCAAACTCAAATCAAATCTTTTATAGACGTCTTTTAATTTGCGCATTTTCCAGCACTTTACATTTTTTAAGCACTTTGTTTGTATTTAACGGGCCCCCTCCCTCCTCGAGCCCTATCGTTTAAAAACTCCCCAGAATGAGACTCGGTCTCTTCTTGTGAGATCCCACTGGGCCCACTGGCCCCCGTTTGCTTTGCCTCCCCTTCTCGCCGCCCGCAACCAGAAAGAAAGTCAGCCACATCCTCGCGGGGCCCGACAGAGGAAGTGCAACAATATGCGAAAAACGGATCCCGGGCTATCAGAGGCCGAGTGTTTCCTGAATGCGTCTGTATTGAGGATGTCGATAAAATAATCAGCAGCGCGCAGCGAGCTCCCGAGGAAGCGGCTGGCCGGGGTGAGCCGGGAAAACATTCAACAGCTTCTGAAAGCAGATTTACTCCTCTGGGCTTCCGCTATGAACGGAAAAGGCCTGCTGGTTCAGCGCAGCGCAGAGCCAGACGGCCCGCTTGTCGCACTACATTTAAAAAGGAAACCAGCTCTCCCAGTCTAACCCAACGGGTCTACTGTGGACTCAAACCTCTAAAACGATTTAATGTAAACCAGTTAACAAATCTCAGGCCTACACGAGCCCTGATTCCCCGGTGGGGGTCACATATTCAATAGTGCACTTTAACCCGACATGGCATCTTCGAATTTCGAATCATTATGAGAGCAACAACCTAAGAATTCAGTTTTTTAAATATTTGAATGCGTGTAGAATAAGTGTCTTCCCTGTCGGGGGGCCTTTTGGTGCTCACATGAACACGCGCTCATAAAGCAAGTCAGATAATAAGTCATTCAGGGGGTTTAGTCAGCGCCGATTTGTTCTCTTGATGTTTCAGAACAATGGGAGTCAGGAAAAAGAGTCAAGGTTGCCATGCACCCCCCCCAAAGACCTCTGTCACAATAACAACGTGACTCATGTGTGCGCGGGCCAGGCGTCGTGCACAATTTTCTCCTTTTGGGATCGAAGACTTGAGAAAAGACATAGGGACACTCGCGTCACTCACCCTGAGATCTGCTGCTCATGTATACAGGCTTCATGGAACTATGCAGACTGCCTTGCGTTCGACACGCATGCACGGCCAAGCGTGATATACTTATGCAAACACATGGTTTCGTTGGCACTGAAACGAAGCTTGAAGACACAACAGTTGTCCTGTAGAAGGCTAACAAAGGTCTCAATGGTGCCACATCAGCCAAGCGAGTACGACTTCTTTTTGGACTAAACGGATTTCATCTCTCACAGAGGGAAGCAGAACTTATTCTACTGTACAATAAAGCACGCAACATGCAAACTATATATATAAACTCAAATGTATTTTCTCATGTAGCCTACAATCCAGAAGCACTACAGATACCGACAGTGCCATCAGGCCAACCAAAACAAACGTGGTGCTGTCAATTACACCGTCTATAGACTGTGCCCAGAATATGACTCCACACACGTCCAACTTACCGAGAGGGTCGTGCCTCAGCAGCGCGTGTGCGTACTCCCCCATGGAGCGGTGGTGCTGGTGGTGGAACGGGTAGATGGAGCCGGCGAAAGCCCCGGCGGAGGCGTACGTCGCGGTCAGGGCGGCGGCGTGGTGAGACAACGCCGGGTGGATCGGTGTGGGCTCGTAAATCGGAGTCCTGTAAGGCGAGATGAGACTCGTGAAGGAGGAGTTGGGCGACGGGAGAGTCGGCGTGGGAACGATCGGAGTGGAGCAGCAGGAGGAGGAGGACGAAGAGGGTGAGGAGGTGTTGGCGGTGGCGGTCCTCCCCAGGATGTCCTCGATGTAGAAGGGTGTCGGGTGAGCCGGCTGGATGGGAGTCGGTGCGTAAAGCGGGACGCTCATGGTGCCGTTTTGCCGCTGGAGCTGAATTAACAGAAAGCTGCGTCCGTCTCCCCCTGTCTCTCCTACAGCCTTCCTCTTTGTCGACAGTGTCTCAGAAGAACTTCTTCACAGACTACCAAACACACTGTAACTTTCAGCGCTGTTACAGAGAGAGTCCGTTAGACTGTTGTGCTGTCCATCAGGTGGTTGACGCGGTGGACTAGCTCGACTCTCGGTCCAACTGTTGGGGCTGTTATCTGGCTGCAGGCGGAGAAGGGAGGAGATAAGCGCACGGCAAACTTCCTGCAGGTGGCTATGGAGGTCGTTTCTGATTGGCTTACTCGCGGCTCCGATCGAGCACACAGTGATTCAATGACGGGAGGGAGGAGATAATTGTCTTCCAGGAGAATCACATCAGTAGTACAGCCGATCACCTGGTGGCCTAAATAACGTACAGCGCTTGTGTTTTTATAAAGCCCAAAAGTGGTTGTTATGAGACCATCTGATACTTGAATCTCTCTTACAGAACGCTATATGCAGGAAGAGATCTGGTTATTACAACCAATCATATTTGGGAAAAGCAATTGTGTCAGTACATATCTTCACTGGAAAAAACATATTTAACTACTGAGTTAAATTGTCAGGGATGGAAAACATGAGATTTGATCTCCCCACTGAGAAGATGAGGAGAACGTCCTCATAGTATCTCCTGCTGCTCCTGTCAGGTTTGTTGTCATTGTTTCTGATTGATTTATAGATCTACATTGTATGTCCAGTGAGCCTTTTGGCAACAGGGCTCGTCAAGACTGCTTCCCCGTCTGCATTTAGGAAGCCTGCTGCTTCTGTAATGTGATGGAGGTATGATTAATGTTAACGAACATCTATATCTTACAAAAAAACCTAAAACCTGCATTTCAAATGTAAAAGTACAGGAGTATTACAAGTAATATACACTACTATCAATGTTATATTATTACATTATCATTACTAACGCATTCCTTTGTGAGCAGCAGCTGGTTGCGACAGAGCTGTTGGGCAGTTTATTCAACAATACATCCATTTCGTAAAATGATGCGTTAAATCTTAATCTGCAAACTAACCAGTAACTCAGTTAGATGTAGACAGAAGAGATATGCAGAGCATGGTGTTACATTGAAAAAAACAATTCACAGTGAGCACAATCCAAACATGCTACATATTGAAATACATATTCTAAAGTGTTAATTGATCATTATGTTGTCAATTTAATTGATCTTTCTGCTTATCAATATCTAATATCAATAGAGTTCAGATGTATTACTGTATGTAGTCTGGTTTTTAATGAGTGTCATTCTGCTGTTAAATCCTCGGACAGATCAGCAGACCTCGGCACCAAACAGTACAGCAGAAGGACCCCTAAATAGGTCGTTTAGCATCTTCCTCCTTCATTCTTCAATCCTTCATCGGGCTGGAGATGAAGAGAAGCGGTCTGAAGTCTCAGAAGAGTTTTCCACCACCTCGGATCCACAGACAGCATACTAAATATATATACAACAAACACGAAGGAGCATCTGTTCTTTAGAGTAAACCATTTTTAATTTACAGTGTAAACTACCTTCACTGACATTAAGTGTACACACACACACACACACACACACACAGCATCATTCACATGTTATCCTTATTCTTTTCTACGAGGTGGACCCTTACTGCCAGAATGTTGGAACCTAAATAAAGACAAATCAAAACTTTTTAATCTTAAATTGTTTTGAGGTTTGTAACATCTGCCGGACTACAGATGAAAAAGATCCTCTTGGCTGAACTCTGGTGCATTTACACTGTTTTTATTAATGCCCAAACGTTGCGCTTAATGCTTCTTTGCCTAAACAAAGTGCAGCGTGTTATCTCTAACAATGTAATGCGGGTTAACTGCAGCGCTGCGGCTGAATGCAGAGTGATTTACTCATCATTTGAATGTTCGGACAGTTCCTGTGAAACCCACCGCGGCTATCAGGTGCTATAATGACACTAACGACTGCAAACGCAAATCGCTTTAACGGCTCCCCGAGTGCACGTTCATCCGTCACACGCGTGTCCCGCAGAGTGTTAAACGATCGCCGTTTCGCGGTTACACCACGAACAGAGCGAGTCATGCTCGTGTTTACCTGTATTTTATTACCTGGTGACTTCACTAATGATACGGTCACGAGTCTCTCTTCGGCGTTGGGAGGAAGCCGTAGTGCTTCCGATCGATAAATCCGCGCACTAGTTAAATCAAATGTGTTCGATCTTTAAAGCGCGCGCCGCTAACTGGCAACTTTCTAACGGCTGTAATTTAGATAAAAGTGGACTCGGGAGAGCAAACAGGGATACGAGCAGCCTTGAAGACATGAAAGAAGTGAGCAAAGGGCTAATATTTGGACTGAGGCAATCATTGCAGCGCATTGATCCGGCCCGGCTTAGCGCAGCGTCAGGCTCCTGTCCAGCAGGACGATTGATAACTGCTCCGCCCGGCTCCTCGGCTCCTCAGCTCGGCTCCTCAGCTCCTCGGCTCCTTGGTGGCTGGCGCCATGCAGGAGTTACGTCAGAGACCACCAAACGAGCCACGGACTCGTGAACGCGCGGAGACGTTGCGCGAGCACAACCTTTACCGTTCGGAGATTTAACAATTAATCGAATATGACACACTTTTGTAATTCTTTCTCGTTGTGAGTCAAAATGATATATATGATACGAAATCTGAGTTATAAAGAGAGAATGACTTTGTATCTAATAAGGTTGACTTGATGACACAGAACATTATGCTGAACTAATAACTTCAGATAAATCCAGATTTTGACTGATCTCACTTTGGACAAAGCATTACATATTTTATGTTTTAGTAACTCAAACATTCTCAAATTCATCATTTTTTTTAGACAGTTGAGACCTGAGAGACAATACGACGTCTTTATTGTGATGCTAATATGTGATTTGAGATACCAAGACCGAATCAAAATGATGAAACAATGAGTCATCATTTCAGAACATCGTCTGCAATATGGAGCACAGCTGTATGACGGTAGGGCCTAATCATACCAGCACCTCTGGCACACAGGAGGTTTCAGTTGGTTGCAATCTGCAACATCTACACTAGATGGCAGCAAATCTTACCGCACCGTAAACCGCTTGAGTGGAGATAGAAGTTATTTTTGTCTGCTTAAAGGAAGAAAAAAAAAAAAAAAAAAAAGAGAGAAAGGAATCAAAACAAGAAATTCGAGAGAACTATGAAAGGAGACGTATAGATTTAAGAAATCTCTCCTCTGGCCCTCAAACGTCCTCAATGCATCGACCAACCCGTCAGCGTAGCAACGGGCAGCAGAAGACGACAGTGAAACTCTGTTGTGTGATGGTAGAAATGTTGGTTGTTGGTTTGAAATGCAAGTATTTAAGAAAGAAGAGCTGCTTCACTTGAATATTCATTTAATCTGCGAGTGCAGGACAAATTCAATTAGACATGCTGTATAAACACACCACCGCTGACGCAACAACACTTTCAAATGTGGAGTACGCCAATCTTTAAAAAAAAAAAACACAGCTCGACACTTTGTACCGGAAGAACAGAAATGCTCTCGTTCACATGTCAACGTCTTTGTTTGTAACATGTTTAGAGCAAACAGCAGGGCCCTCACAGATTAACTGATAATACATCCACCTGCTCTGTGAAGGTGTTCTCCAGCAGGTGAACCTGCTCCTGTTCTCTTGGCTGGAAAAGCCCGGCAGGCGAGTCACGTCTAACCACGAAACTGACAGCGAACCCGGCTCTTCACCTTGTGGTCCCGGTCAGAGGCCCGTCAGGTGTCGGCTTCTGGTGGGTCCACGCGGCACACCCCCTGCTCCGGCTCCGAGCAGGGCTGCAGGGAGCGCAGGACGTGTTCCAGCGTCCACTGCTCCTCGTGTAAGGCGTGCTCCTCCAGGGTGAACTGACCCTGCTTGGTCCGGATCAGTTCCTTCACGTGAGCGCACGACGACAGAGCTGCGGCACACAGGCACACATTATTCTCACGTGGGGTGAAGGGTCAGCAGGGTGGATTTCTGATCGGCTAGTTCAATTCATTGACTGTTCCATCAACGTGACGAAATGAACGAGTAAATCTCACCTTTTCCCAGGTCATCCACCAAGCTTCTGACGTAAAATCCACCACCACACTCGATATCTGTTATAGAAATAAAAATATATTTGACTGTGGCAGGAAGTGATGTGCAAAAGAGCCATTTCAAATACCAGAGTCAGAAGTGGAAGAGAGAAATGCTGCGTTATGCATCTCATGCTAACCCAGGGTGAAGAGAGGAGGCTTGAACTCCTGCAGGGTCAGGTTGTACACGGTGACTGGTCTGGCGGGTTTGGCCTCAACCTTGTGACCTTTCATCAGCAGGACAGACAGACGCTGGCCGTCTTTTTTCAGCGCAGAGTAGCTGAAATGACAGAAACTCAATCAATCACACCATACTGAAGATACCCGTCTTATCTAATGGAAAAGACAAGCTGCGCTGAGAGGAGTTGATAGATAACATCCATCCCATAATCACAGAGTGACACTGTAATGTTCCCCTTTCCCTCTGTGTGAAATGTTGCAACCTCGGGCTGTTTGCCTTCATGAAGTGCAATGGCCACCGGCAGGAAAGCTTCTTTACAAGGGAAGTGACAGTTGAACAATGTCGCTCTAAAGCAGCTATTCTCAACCACTGAGCCACAGAGCACCATCTAGTGGGGGTTCAATACAAATAAAAATATGTTTTTGGTAATTTACAAAGCTTGTTCTTATCATATCGGAATGTGCTCAATAATTCACATCAATAAAAGACATAGTAATTCCAACAAAGCATCATTTTAATGACCAGTTCTGTTAGAACATCAACACACCGATCACCACTCGTCATCAGCTAGTGTGTTTCTCCAGCGTGAGCTAGCTAACGTGCTAGCTAACGTTCCTTCAGATGCAGTGAAACTAAATGGATCGGTTATTGAAATGAGAAAGTGATGCAGGAGACAAGCTCCAAAGCAGAACTATGAGGCTGAATACATTAAATGTGGATTCATAATGTCGGGCAGTGATGGCTGAGGGTCAGCAGAGAATGTGTTTTGGTCACTACAGCTGATGGAGGAATAACACATATTACAGCACAGATTGTCATCTTCATGTTGTGTTTTTCTTCTCACTTATTTGGGAAGGTGGTCCTCTGTAATCTTTAGTACAATCAGAAGTGGGTCTTCAGTTACAGAAGGTTTAGAGACCGTGGTCTAAAGCCCTGCTCGGGACCTCTAGAGTCTGCAAGGTTCACTGCACCACAGTAGAAAAACAGCAGCATACTGATGACTCATCTAGACTAGAGGGAGTTAAAAAGACATTTCTATTAGGTTAACCTGACTCTTATGTCCCGTAATAAGGTCAATATTTCCTACACACCTTTAGTTTGCTAGTTACCCTTCCTGCATGCTTTTATTTTGTAAGTGGCTTTTTTAATGTTGCAGGTCTTTTATTTTGAAACCCTTCCGGCAAAACCAGAAGCGCTGAACCCGGTTAAGCACCTAGGTAAAACGGGAACACAGTGACCATGTTTAGTGACATTCTATCTAATTATCTAATTAACCTGTAAAACAGTGGTTGACTGTATTACTGTTCTATCAGGATGCTAATGTCGGCTTAAAGGAAGTGGCTAAATTGCTACGCTGCAATGTGATGCTAATGCCAGATTTCAGCCTTTACATGTGCTTTTTGAGAAAGATATATATGTGATTGATTAATGTCCATATAGTGCAGTCGAATATCATTTCATGAATGTTTGTGCTCGTAAGAGCTCATTTATGTTTTGGTTGTGAAGGAGAGGGAAGTGAATTTATGTTCAAAATAAGGCTGACGGTTGAACATGAATAAATGCTTTTGGAAACACATCACCATTGTCTGCAGTTGCTGCGGTTCAGAATGAGACCAAACTTTTCTATGGAGGTCAGATTTTGAGCCCTGACAAAGGCCGAGATGTGGCCTGCACCCGGCTAGGTATGGCTAGATTTTAGCCCAGCTGACTGTCAGAAATGCCTTTTGTTGCTGAAGCAGTTGTTGATCACGTGCCGCTCCTACCAGACAGTTAAGAGTGAGGAGTCAGCAATCAATGGCGGTATAAAACACTGAAGAAAATTTAATAATAGGTCCTAGAGCATACATGAGCACAAAAAATATTAGGCTGATGCGTCCAGTAGTATGCGAGATCAGCTGTGGACAGACAGACAGATATACACACGACCGGACACATTATCTCCACCAGGCTCACGCCTGGTGGAGATAATTAACACATGAAATTAAGGCCCTGTAACAACACACACACACAAGGTGATCTACAGCTCTGCTGAAATGTGGCTTTTATCATATTTGCTTCAAGGTGAGTTTCCTCCTGTGATTACAGAAAGCCATGGATGCAGGGTCCTCCATGGCTTCATCCTCTGAGGAGCATGAATCTGCACAGTACATTTCACGGCTGTCAAACAATCAGATCTACAGTTTATTTTCTCACACGTGTTGCTGTGATGACATCATTTCCTTTGTACTTACAGTGGAGGAACTTGCATGATGTCACCAGTGAAAGCTTTTAGTTTGTCCTCGATGTCCAGCCTGGTGATGTGTTCTGTGGGCAGAAATCACAGAAACGTCATCCTGTAAAACAGAAGCAAACCAAAGTGCAGAAAGAGAGGCACGCTCACATACATGAGACCGCTGAACGGGACCAAGTGTAACTTCCATGTTTACCAAAGTCTTTCTCCAGAACCACACTGCCAGTGGCATCGAGGTTATCTGTTGCTTTCCCCAGTTCCCCCACCGCAACGTATTTCTGAAAAACAAACGGTACCATCACTTTGTAGTCTCTGTGTATTACTGACCACTGATATGGATCTGTGGAAATATTCTCACTGCTCATTTTGAAACACCATAATATTAAAACTATGTGTCTGTCATTTGGTCCACGTATGCACCGTCCTCAGTGAGATAAACCTAAAGACAGGAGATACTAACTGAGCCCATACTCGTCTTGGGATCAAAGAAAACCCTTCAGGACATTCAGAAAAACTCGATGGAGTGAGGACGTCCAGGGCACCCCTAATTAAATAACTTTCAACTACTTTAATGCTTCTACAGTGAACAGCATTTTGCACCTGAAAAAAGCCCTAAAAATACTGGAACATTAAAAAACTAGAATTACCGCCTGGTGGTTGTCCGCCAAGCAGTAGTTAACATCCGCGTCTTCCCAAAATGTCATAATTTTGTCATAATTAGCATATGAATTCTTCAGTCCCTCTGGACGTTCCTGAGATATTGCCTTTACGAGAATGGACCAGAAGTACGTACAGACAACCCGAAACTTGATGATAATAATAAACAATAAAATCAGAAGGCCCCGGTTAACCTGATTTATCATCATTTATCATGTGTAGTATTTCTATGACAGTAAGATGAATTCACTTGGATGTCATTTCTAAAGTCAATATAACACTGAAGTATTCCTAGCTTACGATATCCATCTCTCATCAGTATTGTATTTATCTTAGATGTTTACTGTTGCTATGCTTATCAGTGTTATTAAGATACCTAAGTCTTAACACAGCATCACACAATTAGCCAAATTGTTAATGCTCTCCTCAAACCCACATTTTGTTCATTAAATATCAAATCTAATTTTAAAAATAATACAAACGCTGAGTTGATATTGAATCCTTCTTTTCAAACACTAGCACATCTTATCTGTATATGACTGCATACGTTCTATATGTCAGAAGAGAATCATATAGTCAGGCATCACTTCTACCTGCACAGACAATATGAAGTCCACTGCTTTCTATTATTCACTTTACCTTTACTGTAATCCACTCTACATGACTTGCATGAGTGTTGAATGTGTGCAAAGCGTCTCACTTTATAGAAAGAACAGCAGGAAACAATAGTGACAGAATTGCTGCAGTAAATGCTTTAACGGCAAAATAAAAGTGATCAACAGAAAGTTGTGGTGATTGTGTTTAGAAAGTTTGACTACCGATTGCACAAAAAAAAGATTGTTAGGGATTTTAATAAGCTGTCATATTTGCAGGTTACCATGGATTGTTTCCTACCTGGAACCAGTGCTATGTTTACCAGAATTATTAGACACATTATTAGTTCTATTACTGCTTTTATAATCATTATCATTCTATTATATCCACTGCTGCTGTTATTAGTAGGAGTGATCATTGTTCTGTTGTTATTAGTGCTACCACTGCTATTACTTCTCTCACGTGTGCATCATTTCTGTCGTATGGATAGAATACGTTGTTTCATATCATTCTGTACACATGACATGTACTGCTGTGCATCCTGGGAGAGGGATCCCTCCTGTTGCTCTCCCTGAGCTTTCTTCAGGTTTTTACTGGTTTAAGTCTTTTTGGTGAGTTTTACTCGTTTCAAATTGAAAAATGAAATTAGATTTCACATAGTAACATAGCATGCATTACGTTGTAGCTGCTCACCAAATCCTACTGTGATCTAGTTGTTCCTAATGAATCTTCAGATGCACAAGTCGTATTGTTTTCTATGGTAATATAATGAACAGAATCGTCATGATGGGAAACACATTGTGTTTAAGAAGAACACTTTCAGTGTTGTTAGTAAAGCTCTTTAGCCTTGTTGCATAGATCAACTGGCTTTCACTGTTTACATAAGTGCAAGTAAACTCACCTTCGAACCAGCCAACATTGTGCTGAGCATCTTTGTGCCATTCCCAACACCAACAACTGAAAGAAATGGAGGCAGTGTTAGCGAAGGGCTGCTAGCACCCCCTAGAGGTGGCAATGTCCATTACACCCAACAACACACTGAGGATGTTTGGGGCTGGGCTGCAACTAATAATTCTTATTTTCATTATTGGTTAATCTACAGATTCATGTTTTATCAGTAAGCATGTCAGCCTACAGTGAAAATGTCCATCACAAGTCCCCAGAGCAGGGCTCCACAGAGCAGGGCTCCACAGAGCAGGGCTGCTAGGTGGCCAATGGCAACCGTATGAGAAATTGGCAGCCAATTATTGGCCTTTGCTTGCCATCAGTGGAAACTTAACATATAAAAAATAGGGACAACAAGCAGCCAAACATGCACCCTGAAATAAAAACAGTTTCAACATTTGTTACATTAGTGATATTTTTAGATTTCTCTTACAGCCAGAACCAGACAACGCTGCATGTGCGTTGGTAAAGGTTTCATTAACAGGGTTGAGCCCTGCAGAGTCCAAGGTGTCAAAGGTCTTTAAATGTTTCATTCTGTCGAACCAAACGTCCAAAACCTAAAGGTATCTACTTGACCATCATAGAAGACTAAAGAAAACAAGCAAATATTCTTATTTGAGAACTTGGAATCAGTCCATTTTTTGCCATTTTCGCTTGTAAACTATTAGAATATCAAACTCATTGCCCAATATTTTTCTGCCAATTGACTAAACGAGTGATTGACTAATGGTTGCAGATCTAAAGAGCAATTATTTGGGGATGATCCTGACATTCTTTAGTCAGTGTGTTTTTTAAGTGTGACCGTTTATTGGCAGAGCAATTCAAATAGATTAATTCAAATAGATTAATTCAAATAGACATATAGTGTTTCTCCACCAGCTGTATTAGTGGCTGTTTGGAGAATTCTTTCATACTGTATTTAGACCTTCAAGTAGGGAGACAACTTTCAGATGACAGAATCTACAGTCCGTTAAGCTCCATCCTTACCAATGTAATAACCAAACCTAAGGCCTTAAAAATATATATATTTAAATTTAAAAAAATAAAAAAATTTAAAAGTTAGACTTGATAATAAAAATATCCTCATAGTCTAAATTCTGAGATAGAAAGTCACAATTCTGAGATAGAAAGTCACAATTATGAGATAGAAAGTCACAATTATGAGATACACAGTCACAGAAGCAGCTCTTTGGCTGGTTACTGTACACTTGACATATAAATGTATTGCGAGTACATTGAAGACTACTTTAAACGTGGCTTTAGAACACATGAAATACTTCACGTGGGATTGTACAAACGCACCCTTGAAAGGATTTTAAGCTTTGAACAAAGTTATTATAATAACTTGTGTTTGATATTTTCTTTAATAGTTTGATCTTTGATAGAGTAATGTGGGTTTATTAACCCTAAATTAAAAGGATTTAAGTTATAACAGAAATGTGCTTAAATATATTTTTACATTTATATAACTGCATGTACAATATGTTTACACTTGAATAAACAATAATCAAATGCAGAGACAGTTATTTACCAATATGTTACGAGTAGTTACATTTACACAGTCTTACAGTTACAACCGGCCCTTTGAGGGAAACATGATGCTGATGTGGCCCAGAGTGGAGATGAGTTTGACACCCCTGCCTTAAAGACATAAGCTGCATGGGTACATCACCAGTAGCCTTTTCCCCACTGCTCCGCTACGACCCAGCCAAGGCAGAACTGACGAAAGTCTCCCGCGGACCACCACCCGGATGTAACGTTAATGGAAGCAGCCGCTTACCCAGCACCCCACTGGCAGCACTGTCCAGCGTCCCTCCGTGACCCATCTTCAGGCTCTGCTTCTTCCTCTTTCGCGGGTTTGGGTTTTTCACGCCAGCTTCTGAAGAGTTAGTGACACAAAAACAATTCACTGTTAGCTTCAACAAATGACGTTAGACGTATTCCCTGATTCCGACCCCTGTCGAATTACCCTTGAGTAAAACTTCTTTGAGTGTGTTCAACACGTCTGCAGATGTCGGCCCTTGTTTCTTATATATCGCAAACAATCCATTTAACGACTGTAGTTTAGATAGAGAACTAGCTATCGGAGCCACAGTGTTGTGTATATTCCCTGCCATGCTTGTTTAATTCTTCTTCGGCTAAATTCAATGTCCCTCCCCCTTCTTCTTCTACTACTTCACCAACTGCGGCTAGGCGAACCGTTTCGCCGTCTGCTGGTTCAATGAGTTAATAACTATTTTGTATTTCAGCTGCAAGCCAAAATAACACAATGTTAATGTTATATGATATGATATTAAATAATCGTATGTAAACCGGAGACTTTTTGACTGTTCAATGTTGATTAAGTACTGTTGTAGTTAGAGGGTAGATGTCTAAAGATTGTTCACGTTTTCGGAACTACACTGACCAGGATGCTTTGCGCTGACTTACTTCCTAGTTACTTTGTCGCTGGGCTTCCTCTGCATGTCAGCTGTGCTGTCTACAACAACAATAACTGCCAAGAAGATACTGTAGTCGCTGAGGTTTGGCTTTTTTATCTAAAGGTATTTTTATTATTATTATGTCAGGAAAACTCCCGTGATGTACACGTTGGTTAACCTTTGATCGAGACTTTGACTCGCGTGGAGACACTAACGATAACGTTACGCAACACTCCCATTCAAAATCTGGCAAATACAAATGTAGTATAGCTTATCGTCAAGATACATGTCATGAACATAAATAACAAAACCATTTCTAAACGAATAGAAGCTACGTTTTGATTCGGCTCGCATATGATTCCACCAAGTAGCTTTTATTTTATTGGATTTCGTTGCTTTTGTCACACGACTTTCTTCCGAGCCAACGACTAGCGAACGTAACAGACAACTCCGATCTTAAAGTTAGTATTTCTCATGATATGTTCTGTTTTTAGTTTAGATGTTGCCGAATTGAAGAGGTGGTTCTAGTAGTGTTTGGTAGATTTTAATTTGTATGTTACGCGGTCTGTGTTTCTGTCGAACTCATGATGCAGTCTACACTGCTGCACTTTGCTTTATGGAGTTTGTCATAGTGGAGAACTTGCAAGGTCAGCTCCATTCACTTGCAGCAGCAAGTTTAGATTTTTATAATTTGCCAGATATTTTGATACTAGCAGCCATCTGGTGCTATTGAATGAGGGTTGGACATCTCTAAATTCTAACCCGTCACCGTGACTCGGGATACAGTCAGTGCCGAACAAGTCTTTACAAGATCAAGCCTCCATGCATTGTGATCTTAATCACAAACTGTCCTGTTGATAGTGAACCCAGTAACTAAGCACTGACTCTGCCTCACACAAGCGTTTCATGCAATCTGGCCTCACAAAGGAAGCTGATTACTGCCCTTTGACCTCGGTCCTTCTGCAGTCCTCTTTCATCCACCTCCACTTACTTACTGATGGAGATGAGCTGCTCAGAGATCTCTGTGTGAGGTTGAAACACAAGTCCAGCACATAGAGCCCCCTTTGAAGTGCAGCTTTAATGTACCTGATGCAGGACAGACAGACCCATTAGAATGGTATCATCAGTCTCCTGAAAAAATATTTGCAGTTCTGCAAGAACCACTATTGTAGTAAACACTGTTAGTGATAGGGCTACAACTACCAATTCATTTCTTATTATTGATTTTCAGAATTCATCTATAAACCTTTTACCCATAAAATGACATAAGATGGTGACATGGCCATCATGGTTTCCTGGAGCCCAGGGTGATGTCATCAAATGTCTTGTTACATCCAACCAACAGTCCGAAGCCCAAAGATATTCAGTTTCCGACAACAAGAGTAAAAAAATCAAAAAGCTCCAAATCCTCACAATTCTAAAGCTACAAGGGAATGTTTGGCTTTCTGTGCATTAAAAAAAGCGACTGGAAGGATTAATAAATATAATCAGAATAGTACATTTTCTGTCCATCAATAAATCATTTTCATCTGCAAATTGAATCTTTTCTTCTCCAGTCAACGGGACAAGTCACAGAGGAAAGAAAGACGGTGCTGTCCGTCTCAGATGATAAGGGGAGACTGGTGACTCACAATGGAGGATTTCAGGCGGACGTACCTGCGTCTGTGTAAGGAGGGCGGTGTGGAGCCTCAGGAGAGTATTGTGGCTCAGCTCCAGGAGAGCAGGGCTGCTCAGGGCTCCAGACTGGACCTGAGCGGACAGAGCCTGTCTGCAGATACCTGCTCTGTGCTGGCCAGGGCCTTCCAAAAGGATAGCGTCTTCACGGAGGTGTTGCTCAGTGACTGCATGCTCAGCGAGGAAGGTATGTAAGCCTCGAGATCGACAAACAGCCTACATATAGCCTAGTGCATTGCATTGTAAGTTGCTCAGTATAACAGCAGTCGTCAATTAGCATGCAAATATATGCTTGATGCATCTTTTGATCTTCCATATGGATGTAATGCAGTGGAATGCCCATTTAATTGATTGAAAAATAATAGTCCATTGGCTCCTACTGAAGATGTAAATCTTAAAAAGTATATTGCAAATATATAGTTTTTAAAAAACGTCTCAGTTATATTTCTAAACTAGCTGGACACTGTAGGTTTTAACAAACATTTCTCAACCAGGAGGCAATGCTCCTTTTGTTGGGGACTATTTTCTGTGGTGGATTAATCCACATTCTGTGCTCTACTGAGTATTTGTGGCAGCAGGACGGGTCATAATAAACACCAGTGTCTCCCAGTGCAACAGTGTGGCTCATTGATGTGTTTGCAATGGTTTTCGGGGGGAATGGAGCTCTATGACAGAGAGGAGTGATCATTGTTGGTTTGACTCTGATGACATCATGTTGAGCAGTGTTTGCTTTGATGCTTGTGTGACTCTCAGGTGCCAAAGTACTTCTGAGTGGACTGTTTGGCAACACGACTGTGAAAGTCCTGGATCTAAAGGTAACACCCGCCAAACTAGACCGTCCACACTCTAACACCCAAATGGATTTTATTTCATGAGACGTGTTGATAGTCGGTTGATGCAAGCGTATTGTTTACAGGGGAATAACCTGAGATCGACGGGGGCTGAGGTGTTGGGAAAGCTGTTGGTGCGTAACAAGACTCTACGCAGGTGAGAACAACGCTCTTCATGTGGGACACCAGACATGCATTATGAAGGGTTAAAATGTGGTCATAATGTCAGCTTAGGGCTGCTGTATATCAGTGTGCAATGGAATAATATGAACAAATACAGTGAAAATTACAGATAACTTTTCAATGTTACTATTGAAATCATAAATATTTATTTGGAAAAAGTTTACTAATATGTTTTTTTGCAAGATAGGTACCTCAGAGCAAGATGTTTTGATAATAATGATAATAATAATAAATGTTATTATTACTATTTGCAGTGAATCTACTTCAGCCAATCACATTTAAGACATGATCTTAAGGCACTTTAATAATAATAATAATAATAGTACATTTTATTTATATAGCGCTTTTCATAAAACTCAAAGACACTTTACATTAAAATCATCATATATAGACTCATCATATATCCACTTTAGGTGGAGTTATCTGTTTAAAAAGTGCAAAAGGCATCGGTCAGCAGTTGGCCATGTGCTTCAAGTACAGAACCATGCAAAGACACCATGTCTTTTCATAAAATATACAATCCAGCCATCATTAATTATGCTCAGAAACTCAAGAATGTCAGTTCTGCTTGTTCATGTTGTATCACCAATCCTAATTTGAGCTGCTATGAGTGGTGTTACCATGGCTATACAACCATGTCTTATCATTGTTCAAGTAATACATGCTTTTAATATGCTTAATGAAGCATTCATCAAAGTTGACTGCTACTACATACTTTTAGAATCAACATAAATCCCTCCTTTATCTTCCTAGAAAGGATTTTCGATCGGGACGTAAAGTTGAATCTAAATTTGAACCATGCTGTGACAGAAAATAGTGTCCCCGTGAGCACATAATGCTTTAAACTTGCACACGCCGTTTGCAGGCTGGTGTTGGAGTGGAACGCTTTGGGGGTGTGGGACGAAGCCTTCTCGCTCTTTTGTGAGGGCTTGGCGTCTAACGGCGTGCTGACACAGCTGGACCTGCGCAACAATCAGATCAACCACCACGGAGCAGCCGAGCTCGCTCTGGCACTTAAACGCAACACCGCTGTTCAAGCGCTGGGTGAGACTCTGTCAAACTAAATATGACCCCCTTCACTTTGTAAGCTAATTGTTTAAGTGTATACGTATCTATTGGACACTAAGTGACACAAAGTTCCTACTTGAAGTTTTTCTTTTGTTTGTTTTGTCAGAACATCTTTTCAGCGGAGGTGTCAGTGGTTGGACAGGCCCTCTGCTGGGAGAGCACATATGTTACTGTCAAATATTACTAGTACGTATGATTGTGCTGAGCATAATCACAGATTGTTTCTGCATGTTATCAAACAGATAATTAGTTGCCTGTAGTTAAGATCTTGCAGATGATCTTTTATTCAAAAAAGTATCATGGGTTTGAGTCACCAATCAGATCAGCAAAAAAAGAAGAAATGGGGAAAATATAGCATAAAGAGATGCCCCGATCACCTTTTGTTTTTGCTGTTGCTACTGATTGCCAATCGTCAATGAGCCATATCGGCCGATCCTTTCTGTTGTTGCTCTGTTTTGTTACAGCAGCTGGTCTTCAAGGTTCCACACTATTGTTTTCACCACAGTACCAAAAATCACTTCAACAGCTCTGAAGTCAGTGTAATCCATCAACAACTCTAAATTGTATCCTTTTACTTTGTTCTAGTGGTCTATAGTGGTTATTTGCATATAATGAGAAAAAGGGTTCATCTGTGATCCGGATCAGATAAATAAATAACAGTTCATGTAATGTATGTTACACCACTACAAAAAAGTCAACTTACTTGTATTCCTTACTTACTCACACGGGGTTGAGAGGGGGGCTTGACTGATCACATGATCCACAGCAACCAGGGGCATACAGAGAAATCGTGCTTGTAGTCCGTACTGATCCAGAAAACACACGTAGAATGATCAATCTAATCCACGACTTAGAAGGGTTGCTGTGTTCTGGTGTGTGTGGGCTCACTGACTGATGGCCCACTGTCGCCTTCCTTGCTGACTGTGTTTACAGATCTGAGGTGGAACAACATTGGTCTCTTGGGTGGCAGGACTTTGCTGGAGGCTCTGCAGAAGAACAGGAGCATAATGCAGCTGGAGATGGCAGGGAACAACATACCTAGTGACACACTCAAAGCTCTTGGTAAGCTGTGTGTGTGTGTGTGTGTGTGTGTGTGTGTGTGTGTGTGTGTGTGT